TATATATATATATATATATATATACACACACACACAATAAAAGTGAAACATTTTTGGGTGGACTGTCCTTTTAACACTCTTATATTATATCTTGGATTTGTGGATGAGGACATAAATACATGAACAACATCTCCAGAACTGCTCTGACTCCCTCTAAGAGTCACTTCATGAGCATTTGACAGTTTCATTGGAGTAAAACTATCTTCATATCATTTACATAGACCTACAGAAACAAGTTCCTCATGGCAACCCGTCAAAATATAAATTCGGGTTAGCTTAATGAAATTATCAGAAATATATTACTGTGGTGCAGTATGATGTACATAATACTATTCGGGGATGAACGTTTTCCGTCGCTACGATGGATTTCCGTCAATTGGAAAAAATGAGGGGAAAAGAAACATGTAGCACATTGTTGTTGTTCTGCCGGCACACCAAAAATCATCCCCGCCACAGCTGCAGCTTCTCACTGACAACATAACGCCGCTCGCATCATTCACAGTCGGGTTATTAGCAGAGAACACAGAGCAGGTCTTGAATTTCAGGCGCAGGACTTTATTAGTATAGGATAGTGTAGAAATGACAGGAAGGGAAGTGGGAGAGAGAGAAGAAGGGGGTGGGATTGGGAAAGGTCCTCGAGCTGGGATTCGAACTCGGGATGCCCGTAGCGCCACAGAACACATTTTTGCATTTTGAAAATACGAGACACAGGACAGTGTAGTGAAAAAGGACGCAAGATCTATGCCCAAACAGTTTACTACAGTGGGCCAAAAATGAAACTAAATGTTAACATAATACATAAAAATGAAACAACAAAAGGTGAAAACAAAAATATAAATTAATAAGGCTGATGTGCTTCTATGAAAGACTTTTTCTTGTTCTTCCCCCCCTCTTGTGAAACGCCATAGTGGGCCAAATCAAATTCATCATTGGCCAACTTTTGCCCATTTTTATTTTTTGTACTACTTGCTCGAGTGCTGTGTTTTTAGAACACGGTGTCATGTGAGACTCTGCAAAAGATTTGAGATGCAAGTGCAACAATCAGACATCTAGCAGATTTTACAAAAAAACAACAACAATGGAATAGCAGCGCAGTGGAATGCAAAAACGTGTTCTGTGTGAATGTTCCTTAACCATGAATGAATGTGGCTGCATTAGATGATGAAATATCACACCAAGTGATTGAGAAACAGCACACTAATCAAGCAGAATATTTCACAGCAGTTTGATAAGATTTGAGATGATAAAAGAGTTTACACTAGACTTAAGTCACACGCCCTCTCCAAAACCCAACCCTCCAGAAGCATGTCAGCAAACCTGAAGACACAATGATGGTGATGACAGGACGAGTGTGCATTTGTTTATTTTTCTGAGGGCAAATCAGAGTAAAAGTATCATGTTTGTCATTTCATAATGTGCATTAGACGTTTTGACAAAACCAAAACCAAAACTTTTGTGATTTCTCCTTGGCACCATTAGTTGTAGATCTGGCTTGTCTCTTTCTGTCTGCAGGGAGTTGAGGAGGCATTTTACTCTCTCGTGCGGGAGATCCGAAGATACAAGGAGACGAACCGCAGCAATAAGAAGAGCAAAAAGCACACACAGAGACGCTGCACACTTTTATAGCGCTACACGCGTACAGCCTCGCACTGCCACCCCCCTGTGATAGCAATGCACTCAAGGCCACACACACACACACACACACACACTACTGTAGCATTACACATACATACACACCCCATTTCCTTTTCTTACCACTCTCTCTTACGCCACCAGCCTTTGAGGAATAGGAACCTGACTGGCTGTTGTATGTGTTTGTATGTATGTGCGCATGAGACCTCAGTGAGAATCGAGCAACTGTGGAATTGCTTTGGAAAAGACATATTTCCAAATTCGTCTAGTCTCAAGTGGACTCGTCAACTTTGAGCTGCTGCTTCCCCTTCTGTGCTAAAAAGACCCGATGTGTGTCATAGTTTTACAGTCGTATTTTAGAGTCACAGCAGCAAGGAATCTTGTTTATAACAAATTCATCAGGTGGTGAAGGGATATACTTTATGTCGGTAATGGGTAAGTGTTTTTAAGTAAGCCTGATCACGTCTCATCTCTTCAAAACTTTGTGAGCCAGTCAGCACATCCGTGTGCTTCTGTTAACGGTGGTCGGGAAAGAGGAAGCTCAGAAGTCCCCTAAAGTTTTAGTGGCCTGTGAGAAAGCACATTAGAGCCACTAATATAATGTTTTGTACACCTTAAGACGTGTTTCCACCTCATGCATTGTGGGATTTATTCAGAAAATATTTTTAGTACTTGCTCCATCAAATGGGGTTTCAGTAGTTGTCACCATGTTTTTCTTTGTACAAAATTTACATTTTATCAATTTCTCTCCAGGTTACTATTGTTGTCATGGCTTGGACTAAAACTTAGCTGTCCTACACCTAATGTAGCCCTTCTATGATTATGAAATTCAGAAAAAAATCAAGCAGTATTTTATGGTAAAATCCTGTATTTTTGTAACCGTTAATATTGAACCATTTCAGTACACATACCAGCATTGTATTGGACATTAACATTTCATGTATTATGATGAATTGTGTGAAATGCCAGTTGTTCCCACCTGTGATGAGGCTTGGTTGGGAGGGCAAGACATTTTTTTTTTTTAAGATTGACAGGAGAGACAGTAATGGTTTTGGTTCAGGCTAAACACGTGACCAAAACTTGTGATTGATGCATTGCCTTTGCCACATTGATAACTGTAGTTATATGTTCTGTGAATAAAGATACTTTTGGCTAGATGACTGTGATTTCCTCAATATTCAAACCTCCAATTGTAGTTGAAACTGAACTTTTCAGTTATTATATCTGCTTTAAGTGTTACAACAGGTATAAAACGTGCTATTATGGTCATACCAGAGCAGTCGTAACAGTTTTTTCTTAATATAATCAGAAAAGCTGATCTAGTGAGATTTTTTTGTGTGCATTTCTGAAATGTCATTCTCAAAATTTCAAAAATCTGATATGTGCTATAAATGGCCACACGTACAGTAGTAGGTGCTCTTGAGTAATACACGTTTTTGGCCAAAAGTAGCTTTAAGAGACAAAAACAGTTGCTCAAGTTAAAACGAGGAACTGTTGGCAAGAAATATTCCTTTTTTTTTTTTTTATTCCTATAATTTCACCATATGAGCTAGGTTGGCTGAGAAAGATTCTTGTTCAGGTATTATCCATGTGGGATTTCAAATACCTGTATGTAACCCTTAATATAGCTTGGATTTAGGAATATAATGACAGAAACCAAAACATGCATGAATGCAATATATGGGATATATAAAATATTGCCTAGGCCCTAGGATGATGTTTGACTTTTTTTCTCTCTTTCCCCTTGGTTTCTGAACCCTGCTGAACTGAAAAAAAAAATTTTGTTACAAAAGTAGGTTTACGGTAAAGGATCACTTTTAAGACAAAAGCTATGGGTTGAATCTCAGATAACAGATTTACTTAAAGCCCAAAACCTGGTCACCATTACTGCGATTACTGGACAAGCACTTTTTTTCTGATAAAAATAAATTTCAATCAATTTCCATCTGATGACAGCATTTTAAAAATAATATTGACATTAGAATTGTTAATTAAATAAATGTATTTTTTCATAACTATGGGAACAGCCATTATGCCTTCATTTCACACTTAGACCTGTAATGAATGAAGATTTTGACTAAATAAAACTATGATAAAAAAATATTAAAAGCTGCAGTCCGCAGCTTTTTTTGTGTTCATAATTTACAAAATTTATATAATAAGCAAATACATCATGAACCAAATTTCCAAACTGTGTTTTTGGTTTATCCTGAATCACTACAGTACATCTACAATAATACGTTTTTATATTCTGACTATTTTATACTGGTTCTGGTGGGAAGCGCTGCGGAGCACCACAGTACCTGCATGACTCATCATAGACATAAACAGAGAGAAGCAGCTCCAGCTACAATGTTCTGTTTATTAACCGCAAGAGCGCCAAAAGTTACGGACTGCAGCTTTAAGTATAATGTTAAATCAGCCAAGAGAAGACACCCATTTTTACAAAAAATGCACTTTATTTATTTATTCAGCGACTAGAAAATGATGATTCTTTACAAAATGGAGCGAGACAGACTCTTTCACTGAGGTAAGATGAAGAATGAATGTTGAGAAAGCTGAAGGCAAAAGAAAAGATCCTCGTCCATCACCAACCAAAACGGGAGACGAGCTTCTCCTGATCGTCTAAATCTTTCTGCACTTTCTTCCTCATGTAAAAGATGGGGCAGTCTCGACTGAAAAAGAAAGAAAACAAAAAATTGTTTTATTCACTACCACCAACAAAAGTAATTATACTATAGAGAATATTTGATATATTGTAAATACCTGGTACACAGCACATCTTCATGCAGTGAACCTTGACAGCGCTGACACTGAGTCCACAGACGAGAGAATTTCTCCTCCAGAGTCGACAGATGAGCGATCTAAAGGACACCGATCTACAATCTTCAGCCCCACTTATGAAGACAAGTTTGCCATGATTTGTACAAATATAAACACAAAACACACCTCTTTCTGATAAAGCTCCGACTCTCTCTTTTTGCAGAAGTCACATACAGCCACTGTAGAGTGGAAAACATTAAGTACGTCAGTTTTGTGATTTGTGGTACTACTGAGACCTAAACACACACACCTAATACATACCATCAGTTTTGAGCACAGCTCGGCAGCCAATGCATGTGCTTCGTTTCTGAGCGAAAGCCATGAGACCACCAACTCTAGATGTCAAGACTGTCTTACAGCGTGTGTGATCGCCCTCTGAAACAACACAGAAAAAGCAGCTGTATTAGGCGAATCATTTCTGAAAGAAATCCTTTTTTACTATAGTTTGCAGTTTGAAATGAATTTGATGAGATCAAAATTTATAACACAAATCAATATAAACATCTTTCTATTATGAAGTTCATGCTGGCTGCACTTTAAAAAAAAAAAAATCAACAAACAGTGCAGTTTCACAAATAAACACTCTTATGAGCCAGCTGTTTTAATTAATCATTCATAAAGACTCATAAGAGTCTGAAAAATCCTTCACTGAACAAAATCACTGAATTGGCCAGAACGGGAACTGAATTAATGTCTGACTCACTAAAAGTAAGGTCACACATTTACTGTTGTTTGGTGAATTTTTTGCAGTCCTTTCAATAGGAATCTTTATAGGAATAGGAAATTTTGTATGAAGGCCAAACATTTTCCCAGACAGATTGTGCAGCGGGTTCAAGTGGGTCACAGAGAGCTGCTTTGTTTGAAAGGGACTTCTGTGTGAGTTGCTGTGTTTCATTCTTTGCTACACTACTGGCAAAGAACAATGGACCTTTTTTTTGCACACAATTTCACCTGAATGAAACACACCTTTCAAGAAACTGCAAGTCATCTTTGAGTGATGTCTAACTTGAAATGAAGCAAGAACTGTTCAGTGTACTGAACTTAAATCAGTATTACTACTGGCAAACATCAACAGAGAGAAGTCTACTGTTTCACAAAACATCTTTATGAAACATAAGGTTAAAAAAAGTTCCAAAATAAAACATGAAAGCATCTTTCACAATAGGATCTATAACATGCATTTTCAATACAGATCATTTTCATTCCACGCCAACTTCAAAGCTTAATAGATGATACTCACTCAGCAACACACTCTCAGCTTTGCTCTCGCCCAGTATGGGTTCAAAGATGCGCAGTAAAGGTTTGGACAGCTGCTGCTCCAGGTAGTACTGTGTGTCTATAGGGATGTTGTTCTCCAGCACATAGATGGGGTCCTGAGAGATAGAACTCGACATAAACAACTACAGTGCAGGAAATCCGCCACATAAAAACAGGCAATACACAACACTGACCTCTGATTTCATATATGCTGCCACTCCCTTTGCTGCTTTGATGATGACGTACGGGACTCGATCTCCGAGGTTTGGAGCGCTACCGGCATCACGCTTCCGCATCCTAAAACCCACGTTTGTGAAAAGTGTTATTGTGCTCGAGTGAACTACTTGCATACCTTCAAACCCTGAATTTTTCATCTAAAAATGTCTTGAAATAAGCAGCTGCAATCGTTTCGGAAAGTTCTCATTTTAGAATAAAGCTCCATGTTATTGAGGTGGCAATACTCAATTGAAAAAAAAAAAACCAACAACAATAAAAAACACCAATGTCTACGATAACATCCTAAACTGTAAAATTACCAGATTTTTTTTTTAAAGATTGAAACAAAGTTTAAATAATAACATTTTCAACAAAAATACACCAGTGTTAATTTAGAATCACTAATATACTATTATAGTTTGTTCATATTTTGAATTTTATACTTTCTGTTTTTCACTTTAAATTCAACATGTTTAATTATTTGCATTCTTGTCATTTTTATTAGTTTTTTTGATATAATAAATTATATTATAACTATATTTTATATATTTTTTATTTATTAATTTAGTTTTAGTTATTCTACTATTTCTAGTTAAACTGAAAAATTAGAAAAGTTACCTTGGCAGCCGGCTGAGGGAAAAATTAATTTTTAAATAATAATATTTTATTTAATTTCCATTCATGTTTGTTTTATTTCAAGTAACAAAATTGTTTTCTTATGGTTTTAGTTTTAGCTAACGAACCCTGTACTGAACAAAAATGGCCATCTAAATGAAAATGCAAATTTACTCTCTGACAGTAGGTGGCGCTTATGGAAAAGCACAAATACAGAGGTTACCATGATTATCCCTGTGCACAAAAGCAGCTGTACTTATAAACACCAGGCATTACACAGAAGCATGCCATCTAAACCTTTCTATACACAGTTCCCTTCAGATAATCGTAAATAAAAACTCGGATTTGTCTCAATCAGGAGAATGGCACATTTCAGTGTCAGAATGGAGAATTTTTAACAGTCCAGATAATAAAAACAAACACGCACCTCTCTGCTAGCTCAACGTGGGCCTGTTTGCCGGCATACTCCTGTGCGGTGCGTGTGAGCTCTTTAGTTATGACCAGCTGACTGATGTCAATGCGGTTGCACAGAAGGTCAGAGATCACCTCTTTAGCATGAGCTACTGCTCCATCAGGGTCTCTGAAACACAAAACACATCGCCATGCCATGTGAATTAATGTGCGTATTGGTATATGCAAGGTATGTTGCAACCCCAACATAAACAAAAATTGCTTTTGTTAAGGCTTGTAGAGTCATGTCTTCACTCTTACACGTTAGTTTGTGCGTCACCGTTGCTATCCGAGCACATGGGGGTTTTCTGAGTGTGTCAATGTTTGTACCTGTCAATGAGGATGTTTTGGAGGCATGTGTTGATAAGGTTGGCCACTAGAGGGCAGTTGTCTCGTCTGACGGTCTCAATTCCTTTGCAGTCCATCTTATCATGATGTTCAGCATTAGAAGAGAAATACAACCCGGCGTACCGCTTCTTATTGATCAGCAGATATGGGTAATACACCTGAAAAAGTGTGAAAGAGATTATTAAGCTTCTTAGGAATAATACTTGATGGATTCTGTTGTGAAATCTTGGGAGTTATTTCTGTACCTTCTCAAACTCTAATTTGATTGGTGGAACGAAGTGGGAGGAAACCCAATCGGCAGCCTCCTTTCCCAGATTCATTGTTTCCTGCACTGTGGCCACACCTAGTTTCACCATCACAGAGTCAGTGTCTCCATAAACGACCTGAAACACATTTGACTTGCATCACTGCATGTTTTCAGTGCAAGGTAAAAACACGTTCATGTGATTAAATACCTTTGCATCTGCCTGGTAACCATTAGAGATCGTGTATCTTGATTCCACAAGCTGCTTGGTCTGTTCAATCATCTGCCTACCAAAGCCAGTGACGCTCTGCAGATAAAAACGGAAAAACACCGCCTCTTAAAGCATCTCTGTTTGAAACCATCTGACGGTATTTGTCCATGTGTGAGTGCTGAAACGGACCTGAGAGATCTCCAGACAGGGCAGTTTGCCCACCTGAGCCCCGGTGAACCCGTACACGGAGTTTGCACTGATCTTCAAAGCCAACTGCCTTCCATCCAGCACCTGCTTTTTAAAGGGGTCTGTCTCTTTCTTCAGCTCTGCCTTCGCCCTACAGGCACATCAAAGAGTTAAGAGTCAAAATTTAAATACTATATATATATTCATATTCAAATCCTGGTAAAAGAATGATGTGACTTGATAAGTCAATGATGTGATGTTAAAGGGTTAGTTCACCCAAAAATGAGAATTCGGTCATTAATTACTCACCCTCATGTCGTACCAAACCCGTAATACCTTTGTTTATCTTTGGAACACAAATTCAGATATTTTTGATGAAATCTGAAAGCTTTCCAACTCTGCGTAGACAGCAATGCAACTGACATGTTCAAGGCCCAGAAAGGTAGTAAGGACATTAATAAAATAGTCCATGTGACATCAGTGCTTCAACCGTAATGTTAATGTTACACGCATGCGCCTTGTGAATGGCAGCAGAGACTGACACGGAACAGAAGAAATCGTTGAATAAAGTCGTTATTATGCAAAAAGTATTCTCGTAGCTTCATAACATTGAGGTTGAATCACTGATGTCACATGCACTATTTTAATGATGTCCTGACTACCTTTCTGGGCCTTGAATGTGTCAGTTGCATTGCTGTCTATGGAGGGTCAGAAAGCTCTTGGATTTCATCAAAAATATCTTAATTTGTGTTCTGAAGATGAACAAAGGTCTAAACATATTTGGAACGACATGAGGGTGAGTAATTAATGACAGAATTTTCATTTTTGGGTGAACTGTCCCTTTAAAATAAGTATATAAATACAGAAGACACAAATTTGAGGCAAAATAACACATTTTTAATTACACTGAACTATTCATCATCAGCAGTGAATAGTTTAACAATCTCCATTTCTTTTAATTGTTGAACTCACCTTTTCCTGGCACTCAGCAGGTTTTCCAGGATCTCAGGGAGAAGGCCCTTCCTCACAGAGCTCTTCACAAACAGATCACCTGTCGGGGTCTTGATGAAATCTTCTGGAGCCAGACTAAAAATGTGCACATGCACACACACAATATATAGAGAAAATAAAAGGGAAATAAATAATTAAATAGAAAAATAAAGGCAGTTTGAAGTATCACTTTAACACTTTACATAACAAACACACACACACACGCTTCTCTCACCTGAGTTTGTCCACCTGGCTTTTCTGCAGGAGTGTAGTGTAACATAAATTATGAGCCATCATGATGGATTTTTTTTCTCACACAAAACACACACACACACACACACACACACACACACACACACACACAAAAAGATCAAAATAAATAAATCTTAGTAAAAAACAAGTTACCTTTAAGGTTGCAGCTCTGTTGAGGAGGTACGGAAGGTCAAAGTTCTGGATATTGTAGCCAGTGATGATGTCAGGATCCACTGTCCTTACAAACTCAGCCCAACTCTGAGATAATCACACATATACATTATTATTATTAGATTATGCACAAGTAAGCATTTCGGCGTAAGTATAATCGTGAGAATCTGTGAGTATGTACCTGCAGTAGCAGTTTCTCTTGAGTAAAGCAGAGAATCTGGGAGCCCACTATACTGGCACAGCTCTGTAAGGTGAAGACCATCCGGATAAACGGCTCCTTCTCTCCCTGACGCTGCACCATAGAGGCGATCTGAATCACAGGATCAATCTCCGGCTCTGGAAACACGCCTGTAACACACACAAACAGTTCAGTTATTTACACAGCAGGATATAATACAAAAGCACAAGCACACAAGTGGCACATTGTGGCTACTACTTACTACTTAGAATAAAAAAATAAATAAATAAGCTGTTCAAATTCAAAAAAGTGACAAAAACCCAATTTGGTAGAAATGTAGTTGGGATGAAACTATAAATCAGTGGTATAAAATTTTCAATGGTATAAAATGTGTGTTATTAGGTTCGGAAAAAAGGTTTCGTGTAGATTATTTGATTCGGAAACAAAAAGTACTTGTAACATTTCTTAAATAATTTAACAGTAAAAACGCATTGAAATGTTTTTCTAATTAAACACTAAAAATATATTTGATATTTAAAAAACAGGATCCATCTCTGGCTCCGGAAACACACCTGTAACACACACAAACATTTCAGTTATTTACACAGCAGGTTATAATACAAAAGAACAAGCACACAAGTGGCACATGGTGGCTACTACTTACTACTAAGAAAGTTAATTTGGTAATGTGTTACATTCTAATTTATTGAGATGCACCTGTGTGTGTATATATATATATATATATATACACACACACACACACATTTATTTAACTAAAAGGCTGAAGGACAAATTCAAAAAGTGATAAAACCCAATTTGGTAGAAATATAGTTGGGTGTAAAAAGTATAACATTAGTTTTCTAACTATACAACTAATATCTCTACTAAAGTATATGTATTAGTTGTATAACATTGTCAATAGCATAAAATTAGTTTTTAGATTATTTGATTCAGGAAAAAAAGTAATTGTAACATTTTAAAATTATTTAACAATAAAAATGTATTAAAAAGTTTTCGGAATTAAATATTAAAAATATATTTGATTGTTAAAAAATACATTATCTAAAACAATGAAAATGTGAACTTGTGGATTGCTAAAGAGTGATGATACTGATACCAAAATTTCCACCAGAAATACTGAGGTCCAACACAATCAGTGTGTCAGATTCACAACTTCGTACACAACTTTCTACCACATGGTTTTACGGGCTACCACTGAAACCAACACATCAAACACAGAATAAGCTAAACTAAAAGAGCCTAAACAAGGAGAGAAAAACAAGAATCCACAGACACACCTTTTCTTCCAGCACACTCAATATCAAAGCTCAGGACTCTGAGAGGAGCGATCCTCTGCCACTCTTCTTCAGCTGGATGACTGACCAAGTGATTCCATGCCACATCCACCTCATACTGACACAGCGACACCTGAGAGAGAAACACATTAAAGACACACCACATGAGTGTGGCAGTTCAATACCCATTTCCATCGCTCTAATGCTTTAATTGACTGCTTTTATGTTTATACCTTTCCTGGATATTTTGAGGCTGTCTGTCCTTCGCTCCTCTCCTCCCTCAGCCTGTACTTTCCTTTTGGAAGCTCAATCCAGCAGCAACCGACCACATCACTGTCCACCATGAACCTGCCATCACACACACAAACAGCAAACCTCGCATGCTTTATCAGGTCAAGCAAACAATGTCCACCACACACCACCGGTTTCAGAAACTTTCAAACACACACCTGATCTCAAAGTCAATGTTGGCTTCATAGGCCTGGTAGCTCTGGGTGGCGAAGTTGGCAAATTTAAAACCCTGCTCAAGGAGACGCTTCGCCGGGGCAATCAGACGCGGCATTGCCATGGTGATGCGCAGAAAATCAAGAGGTTTGTTTCCATGGTAGTGATACATACCTTAGCACAAATAGGGAAAAGTCAGTCAGCTATAACACATCACAAAAACAGTTTCACTTTAAATATTGTTAAAAAGCTGTTAGTTTAAAATAAATTAATTACTATTAACTAAAAAAAATTATACTTTTATTTAACAGGATGCATTAAATTGATCAAAAGTGACAGTAAAGACATTTCTAATGTAAAAAATATTTCTATTTCATATAAATGCTGTTCTTTTGAACTTTCTATTATCAAACAATAATGAAAAAACAAATGGTTTCTACAAAAATATTAAGCAGCACAACTGTTTCCAACATTGATAACAGAAAGAAATGTTTCTTGAGCACCAAATCAGCATATTACAATGATTACTGAAGCATGTGACACTGAAGACTGGAGTAAGTATTAAAATAGAAAACAGTTATTTTAAATTATAATAATATCTCACAATATTATAACTTCTACTGTAACAAATAATAAATAAATAAAATAAAATAATTACCGACCCCAAACTTTTGAATGGTAGTGTATACACACAGAAGTTTACACCAAGACGACTTACTTTCCTTCTTGGTGATGTCCACTGCGAGCACAGTGACCGCTATATTGTCTTTATTGGACCGCATATCCTTTAATACAGCAGAGTTCAGCTCTCTCTGAAACTCAGCCAAGTGTGCATTTATAAAACCTGAGAAAGACACAGACATACCATTGAAATCATGAAAGATGTGTTTAATGCATCTCAATGACACTGAGCAGATTCCTGTAATTGGCAGCTCACCGTTGGGGGCGGGAACATAGAAATACGGGGCGAATCCATGAACATGGCAGCACACGCTATTTCCACTGTCCGTCACACCAAACATGCGCACTATGGGCACTTTGCCCTGTACCTGCCCGGGCATTCCCGCCACCGCAGATCCTAAACACCAGATAACAACACACTGAGGGAAAGACCTAGATTATTGAGTTTTATGTGTGCATTTGACAGCGCTTGTGCATCTCACCCAAGTAGTAATCCAGGTCTATCTGCTGGAAAATTAGTGTGTCTGAGATTGGTTGTAGAGGAGGAGCGTGAGGTCGTTTCCAACGTGGATTGAGATCAGCGGAGAATAAGTCACCTGAGCAAAAGAGGGCAGATCATGTATGTATGTTTTTAAGTATGTATAGGTTAGAATGTAGTTTGATTTTTTTCTTTTGTTCTATAAGATAATTATGGGATTTGCTTAATTTTTCTTTTTTGTTTTGTACTGTAACCGTATTCATGGATTAATGTTGTTTTGAATATTTTGCAGACAAACATTTTTTGTGTGTGTGTGTAATAATAAATGCAATTTAATTAATTACAAAGAAACAGACAAACACATACTTACCCTCTGGAATGACATCATGACCTGCTTGCCCCTCCCCTGACTCCGCCTCCATTTCCATTTCATCAAATAGAGCGAGTTCCTCTTCAAACTGGGAGGGACTATCCTCCCATTCTGTGTTCATTTTCCCCTTCTTGGCCTGTGAAGCCCCGCCCATTGCAGGGCCTCCATTGCGCTTTTTAAACTCCATTCTAAAGCAGCCCTGCAAAAGCAATTATCAGCTTTTTATGAGCAAATCAAACACTTACAAACGCCCACTTCTATCTTGCCAACTGAAGATGTGTTGAACACAGTATGGGTAACAACGTATTTATAAAGGAATATAATAAAGTGAAGATATAGTGCATGTCACACGACTAAACGACTCAAAAATAAAGAATAACATCAAAACAACCTTAAAGAATAACATTAAAAAGGAGCGCGAGACAGCACTTGCATAAAAGGGGCGGGGTTGAGAAAACAGGCGTACAAATTAGTAAAGGGGTCTTTCAAAATTAGCTGCTTAATTGTTTCTTTATAGGTTTGTGGAGTTTGACAGACACGTTACGTATAAAACAGTTGTGATTTGCAAGCTTTCACTAGTCCTACTTGGAACTATTTAGAAGCTATTGTTTTTGATGATCTGGGTATCTTTAGTTTGGGTCAACATCATTATTGTATTGTGCATAATCAGCAATGTTTCGTTTAACAAGCAACATACACAAAGTACAGGTTATTTAACTTTTGCACACAAGTAACGTTATTCTTTCACTTATAATTCATCTTGACGGATAATTCAGCAACCAAAATAAACATTTATTGAGCAACAGAACGATCGCATAAACAAGATTTAGGCTCATAATGTTTACGTTCACATGCGGATTATTAAATGCTACACTAGGCGAACTGGACAAACAAGAAACTTAGCAAAACATGTTAGCAACTTGCAAAACAACAAAGAGAGGCAGCAAACTCATGCTACATTACAAAATGAGCTGCATCAGGCAATGTTATATATTAAGGTGAACTCTAGCCACTGAACAAATGCTTAATCTTTCACCTCTTATTCCAGCTCGATCGCTATTACTCCACATATGTACTTCACAAATCTCCCGCCACTTCACAGTACTGAGTGTCAGCTTCCACCGGACCTGAGCAACATCCGTTTTCCCGGTAAATTTGCGTAGGGTCCACGAAGGACTGCAATTGGTTGTTTGCACATGACGTCATTGCTGTGGCGCGAAATGCAGCCATGACATTGCTGTGGCGCGAAATGCAGCTGGAGGGCAGGAAGTGATTTGTCTCTATAGGAATCACTAGCAGAAACTCAAAATGCCTGTGTTTTGCATTGTTTATGGATGCTCAAATCGATCAAACCGAGAAAACACAAGGAGCTTTTATCGTGTACGAAAATGTGTTGTTCATAAGGCAAGAGATTGACTGAAAAACGCAGGAAAAAGTGGCTTGTCAACCTGTGTCTGCAGTCGGGAGGAGTCGAGTCGGATAATGCACCCTGTACATGCAGCAAAGTTTCAGGAGTGAATGAAAAAGGATGAGATGGAGGAAAGTCCGTACTGTACTGGTTTAGACACTATTACAAGAGAAAGGTATAAACAGAAAAACACAACGCATGGTGGACGTGATCCCTATGTTATAAAGAGGAGCGATTTTTTTTAACTAAATTCAAATATTTGCATGCAGTGGATATACGCTAAGCAACTGACAGGACACCGGCCCTCCAGGACCGAGTTTGGGCACCCCTGCTATAGAGACAAATCACTTCCTGCCCTCCAGCTGCATTTTGCGCGTCATCAGAATCACGTGATTGCAAACAAGCTATTGGTCGAAATGTAGGAAGTGAATCGCTTGTAAAAGGACGACTATTACTGCCATGTTGAGAAGGTCGTGTTTGAGAAGAGCAATAAAAAACAGTGTTTTAATAAATAAATAGATCGAATGTGAGTCAGAATTATAAGCCACAAAATAGTCTTTAAAAATTTAAATGCAGCCAAATAGCTCTTTGTACTTTTCCCCATTTTTATCTAGATATTTATTGGAATACTTGATGATGCTGTTACACCTGAATATGGAATGGTTGAATATTACAATCCATTTTTATAAGGAATAATAAATAAATAATATGTCATGATAATTAATACAAATATTTACTTCTTTATTTCCTTTATTTTTATTTTACCATGCAAGTCATTAAAAAACAAACAAACAATGTACTTTATTTAGCATGATTGTTTTACACACAATATTGCCAAAGCATAAGTATATACATTAATAGTTGTCATAGAGAGGAAAAAATTATAATCTATCAGTCATGTTAATAAAAATAACAACATAAAACAATGATAATTACCAATATATATATTTTTAAATTAACAGTTACTTTTGTCAACAACTCCTCTTCCCTAGATTCAAGAATTTCTGTGTGTGTGCGTATGCATTTATGTGTTGTTGCATTATCTGAAACATAATGCTGTAAAAATACCCACTCTGCCCTTTCAATTTAAAATTTAAAGTAGCCTACTTTACAGTGTTTACAGACACAATATTGCCAAAGCATTATACACAAAACAATTACAAGAAATAGAAATATACAATATTAAAATAAAAAAATAACAATAAATAATGAATAAAATAGGAAAAGCATAGAATAGTAGAAAAATAGTAAAATATATGTGACCCTGGAGCACAAAACCAGTCATAAGTCGCTGGGGTATATTTGTAGCAATAGCCAACAATACATTGTGTGGGTCAAAATGACCGATTTTTCTTTTATGCCAAAAATCATTAGGATATTAAGTAAAGATCATGTTCCATGAAGATATTTTGTAAATTTCCTACCGTAATTATATCAAAACTTAATTTTTGATTAGTAATGTGCATTGTTACGAACTTAATTTGGACAACTTTAAAGGCGATTTTCTCAACATTTTGATTTTATTTGCACCCTCAGATTCCAGATTTTCAAATAGTTGTATCGCGGCCAAATATTGTCCTATCCTAACAAACCATACATCAATGGAAAGATGATGTAATAATGCATAAATCTCAATAAAAAAAAAAAAAGACCCTTGTGACTGTTTTTGTGGTCCAGGGTCACACAGGTCTATAAACATGTATATAAAATAAACATTTATCGAGACATTAGAACTTAAAAATCTGTTGTATGTACTGTACATGCATAGTCTTTGGTTATATTGATCAAGGAGGTAGTTGGTTTCTGAGGGTGTGCAGCTATTGGAAAACGCGCACAAAACACAAAAGCCAGCGGCTTACTTGCCCTGCGAGTTGCAAGAGGAAAATATCAGGGATGCAATTTTTTCCCCAACATTCTGTTTAGCCAATCAAATTCTTCATACAGGTAAACGCCTATCTCTTGGGGACGTGAGCGGTGAGGAGGAAGCTCCGAGAGATCATGGAGGAGGAGTCGGCGTCAGATAAGACACGCCCATATTTTATGACGTACCCTGTCGCGTGCCAGCTGTCACCCTGACGGAAAGCCAAATAGTCCTATAATACAAGGCTAGGAGGAGGAGGCCCCGCCCACTGTCAAATCATCCTCCTGGTGATTGATTCCAGCAGATGTGAGGCTTGCGCCGCTGAGCGAAGAAAAGACGCTACCGCAGGGTGAGTGCATAACTTACTGCTTTTGTGTGTTGTCAGTCTGAAATTACGTGTTCGTGTGTTTTAAAACCCGTAGAGGAACATTACCGTCCATCTGCAAAGCCCGTGATTCCTGTCACGCGTGGTGCCTTCGGTCAAACCCACTTTTACAGCCTGCGCTCGACTGGCCAGTCCGTCCTTCCTCAAGCGTGCCGAGGAAAAGCTTGCGACTTTTTTGATCGTGTGCACCCGTCTATTTTATGCAGTTTTATATTTATGTCCAGGAAACGCTTTACTTGTTCTGTTGTTATGGTGACTGTTTGACTGTTCCTGTGTGGTGTCAGCGCGCACGTACGCTCTTCTGCGTCTGAGAGAGTGAGAGAGAGAGTGAGACTATTATATACTGCGTCTCAGTTATGAATGACAACTCACTAACACTGAGGGATACTACACAGTGGCTTCATAATTCATGTGGCCGCTGCGTGAAGGTGTGTTTATGTTGTATGGAGGACCTTAAAGTACCGTTATGTCATTCATGAAGCCTCTCTGGGTTTATAGGGACTACAAGCCTCATCTCTCAATCACTATCTGTCTTTCTCGTAAAACAGGCCTCATGTTGCTCAAGGTATGTTGTAAGTGGAGGGTGTGTAAGTGATGGTCTGAATGATTACATGGTGTTGTGATGTATAAAAGGTCATGCCTAGACTTGAGGTGAAGGTACAATGTCACAATGCATTTGTAGACATCTCAACTCATGATATGATTTGAACATGCACTTGCTCATCTACTAAAGAAGCTTTTTCTAATGTGTTTGTGTGTAAATCCGAGAAAGGAAGAGCAAATGAGCAATGTTGGAAGATGAGTCACTTTGATGAATTGCTGTTGATATAATTTTGTGTCAGGAGAGAATGAGGAAGTGTGTGTGTGTGGTGCTTGCTTGAAGGTCATATACTGATGTAGATGGCTTTTGGCAGTGGTACATCATATAAGGTTCACACTTGTATGATGGATGTAAGCTAGGCCTACATATTAGTTCAAATGTCAGGAGTTCAATACAAATGAGACTATTAATCTAAAAACATGGATAGATTGATTGATATTATTGTTATATTTTATTACCCAGCATGCCACTGGCGCGCAGTTTGTCGGTCACCTCCCTGTCCGGCCTGGAGGAATGGGACGAAGAGTTCGATCGGGAGGATGCAGTCCTGTTCGAGATCGCATGGGAGGTCGCTAATAAAGGTGTGTAATAAACAGTGTTGGGCAGTAACTAGTTACTAGTAACTTAGTTACTGTAATAAAATTACTCTTTGCAGTAACTAGTAGTGTAACTAATTACTAATACGATTTCAGTAATAATATTACAGTTACCATCCTTAAAACAGCTTAGTTACTTAGTTACTTTTGATGCCTCGACCCCGCTGATTTAAAATCCAACAATCAAATAATTCCTAGGTTTATTTTCATAATTTTCACGACTCGCACATGCATGTGACGTCCCCAGTGCAGCAGGCAAGCTTAGAATATGGAAAAGCTTACATTCAGCAGATAGAAATATTGCATTATATTGATTTATCTGGAAAAAAAGATGATCTGAACACTGTTGAGTAAGTTGTGGCTGTACTTTACTCTGGTATTACATCCCACCCACATCCCTCTGATCAGCATGTGGTACATTATATTACTATAATTAAAAATCTTTTGGGTAAATTAAACAGTTTCTTACAAACTTATGTGATTTTGATAAAATACATAATGAAATATAATCGTATATGATAATTAATGAGATTAATATAACACTTCTTCTACTTGAATGTCACTATCAATCACTATTGAGTGTTTGTAATAACTTCTGACTGCGATCCAATGTGGATTTTGGTCAAATGATGAGGCAGAAATATGTTGTTAGTAACATTCTAGAAGAATTTCATGTGGAAGATACACCGTTACAACTTCTGTGGGGCGTGAAGAAATAGTAATGTAACTAGTAGTGTAACTAATTACTGTTGCCAGAAAGTAATAAGTAAAGTAACAATATTACTTTTGAAAGGAGTAACTAGTAATGAGTAATATATTACATTCTTTTAGTAACTAGCCCAACACTGGTAATAAAGGCATGTTTCTTTTCTTGGATATGATGTTTCATTGATAATGTGTCATCATAGACATTTACACTCATACCTTCAAAGATCTACACTAACATTCAAGTTTGGATTCGGTAAGATTTTTAAAATGTTTTTCAAAGACCTGCTCCAGGGTTCAAGTCCCTGTTTGGGTGCCACTTATGTAACGGTGGTGGCCCCCCAAAGTTAAATTGTAGTATTTAAGGTAAGTAATTAAATTGACCTGCCTCTTCGAGAAATCTCTTCGAGAATGCTCATCGAGGCTGCATTTATTTCATTAAATATAGTAATATTGGGAAATGAATGTCATAACAGTTTAAAATAACTGAGTTCTATTTTAATATATTTTAAAATGTAATTTATTCCTGTGATGCACAGCTGATTTGCTGGTTTGCTGCTCAGGAAACATTCATTATAATTGTCAATATTAAAAACTGTTGTGCTGCTTAATATTTTTGTGAAAACTTTTTTTCCCCAAAAAAAAAAAAAATCAAGGATTCTTTGATGAATATAAAGTTCAGAGTTTATTTGAAATAGAAGTCTTTTCTAACGTTATAAATGTCTTTACTGTCACTTTTAATCAATTTAATGTTCTCTTGATGAATAAAAGTATAATTTCCTATTAATTAAAAAAAATTGAGCAGTAGTGTAAATTTAGTTTTAAGATATTTATAGCATTGCTACATTGACATGTCATGAGTGCACTAACAAGAAAAGTGCTAAAAAGTATCATATTGTATTTGAACTATAGTATGATACTATAAAAAGTATCATATCATAGTTTGTTTGAGCATAATATCATGTTTGTTTTGGACATGGACCTGATACCTGAAACCACCCTGATGTCATTTACTCTTTGTGCACAGAAAACAAATAGGACTATAGGAAGAATACTGTAGGAATGTATTGAAAGTATATTTCCAGTTTATTCTCCTGACCTAATCAAATTTTTAAAACTTAAATTTTTTTTACTCTGTTAGAATTGAGCACCAAGTGGGAGATAAATCATTTAAGGGTTGTAATATTTGACTGTTTGCAGTTTATCTTCTGTTTCATGAAAGGTTTAAGCTTCAGTAACCAGAGCCAGACTAGTAAACAATTCATACTGCATTTTACAAAGCCTGTTGAATTTTCCACAGAAAGTGTCAATATACTCTTTAAATATTTGAGACAAGAGGTTTTTGATATAATGTAAGTATTAACCAACAATAAAATGTATAAAAAAAACGTGAAAAAAACACCAATGTATTTTTAATCCTAATTATTTTGAAGGACTTTATGAGAGTTATTAAGTTGAACACAGTCTACAATCATCTACAGTTTTGGAAAGGAGAAACTAGACACTGTCGTTGTTGTCACAACACAAAAACCTATACGCCACATGACTCAACTGCCAAGCGTTCACAGATACTGTATCCACATAGTCAGGGGCGCAAGAGTCATGTGACTCTGGTGTTGCTATTTGCTGCACTCTGTGAATATTATATATTATTGACAGCTAGATTACATAAAGGTCAAGGAGGTTGAGTTCAAAGGGCTGGGCGGCCTTCTCTTTCCTGGACCTAAACATCTGTTAAAGGTTATCTAACCACTCTCGTTTTGTGGCAGTTGGTGGCATTTACACGGTGATCCAGACCAAGGCGCGTCTGACCTGCGAGGAATGGGGTGAGAACTACTTTCTGGTGGGCCCATATATGGAGTCCAGTGTCAGGACGCAAGTGGAGCTGATCGAACCCTGCAATGCGGCACTCAGGAGAACCATTGATAAAATGAACAGCAGTGGGTGCAAGGTATACACATTCACACACTTCAATAAATATTGAAAAAGAAAGGCAGTTTCTAGCTGTAGGTTTGTTCACCTCTAATTTTTCCAAACTAATATGTACACACACACACCACACAGCCCAATTTAATCTGCTCTTATCCACAGTGAAACCCTAAACCTTCATTCTGGAGAGTGTTTGTATGACATCTCTCTAGTGTGTGTGTGTGCGTTAAAGGTTAAAGGCTATATCGGTGTCCAACAGCCAGACTGAGGTCTATTTCAGTTCTTTGAGGAAATTTCCCCCTGAGAGACGCTGTGTAAATTGGTGCCTGAGTTATTGCAAAGTCACTTTGCCGTCAACATGAACAGAAACGAGTTTGTAAAAATCAAAGCCCACACATCCAGGTTTTTCTTAGAAAGTATTAACTAAAAATGTTTGCTAGCTTGTCCAAGTGGCTTCATCTGTTGTTGATACACCGTGATGTCTTCAGACTAACAAACCAGGAGTTGCATTCCCAATAGTTTGAATTGTGATTATTGAAAAATTGAGGTGAAACTGTATGAAGATTGCACAGACATGTGCAGTCTCAGTTTTCAGAATGCTATTTCTGTTGAATGGTATCAATTTAAATCTCTAGCGAAGTGACAAAGTTTAAATTTCCTTCCTCTCCTTTCTTCTCTAGGTATATTTTGGTCGCTGGCTGATTGAAGGCTCTCCATATGTGATTCTGCTAGACGTGGGCTTCACGGCCTGGTCTCTGGACCACTGGAAGAGTGAACTCTGGGAGAATTGCAGTATTGGTGTGCCCTGGTTCGATAGAGAGGCTAACGATGCTATTCTCTTTGGCTTCCTCACTGCATGGCTACTGGGAGAGGTGTGCAGTTTTGTTTTAGTATTATTTATACACTGTTGTAGTATTTATTAATATTTTGAAATCGCTTTTTTGTATTTTCAGTTTTCATTTTAATTTTAGTTTGTTTTATTTATTTTGTTATGTCCTTTTGTTGTTTTGTTCGTTTTTTTATATATTTCTAGTATCAGAGTTTTAGTTTAATTTTAGTACTTTAACATCAAAATTATTTATTTCAGTTAAGTTTACATTTTACATCTAAAATTTATATTAGGATTTATCTCAGCTTTATTTTAATTTACAACAACTTAAGAGTTTTAATTTTAGTTAACTATAGCAACATGGGAGGTGTGTGTCATTCTGTCTTTTTGTAATATCTATATTAATATTAATTTTGTGAGTGTAAATGTGAATGTTATTTTCCCAACAAAACTCAATGGGAAAAAAAAGTTATAGTTAGTTAATAGAAATTAAATAGCCATGCGCTTATGCTATTTCCTATATTTTGGTTAAATGTTTGATTACATTTTTTGTAAAAGATACATCACCTTGGAACCCCACAATATTGTTAATTCTCATTAATTAGAATTTGAATATGTTTCAGTATGCAGCTCAGTGTGATGAACCTCCTCACATCGCAGCACATTTTCACGAGTGGCTGGCAGGTTTGGGGCTCGTCTTATGCAGGCAGCGTCAATTACCTGTAGCAACCATCTTCACCACACATGCCACACTGCTTGGCCGATACCTGTGTGCCGGGAACGTTGACTTCTACAACAACCTTGCTGAGGTTTGTGTGAGAGAATGTGTTTTTGTGGATATATGATATGTCCTCATTACTGTTTATACTGTTTAACCCACACCTCCTCGCCAGATAGAATCAAATTTCTTTAGAAAACCTTCCCTGTTTTTTAAGCACATTTTGGTTTGACACCAAGATGATGCTCTAATTGGATAAACAGATAGAGTTCATGGAGTTAAAGGTGGCGTAAGTGATTTCTGGTAGCCAATGTTGATATTTCAAATCACCAAAACAAACACGCCCCTACCCCAAAAGGGTCTCGCCCCTATTTTGATAGCTCCGCCCCACACATACGTACGCAACCCAGGCAACGATTAGTTCTGTGAAACGAAGCAAAACCAATGTTACGCGTGTGTACACCGGATGCGAGTGGCGCGGTGCGGTCGCTTTGTCGCGTCCAGTGTACTAGACAGACTTTAGCTGTTGCGGCGCAGACACGGTGTTACTCACCTATCGATAAGAAACAAAGCAACGTCAGCGTCCGATCGCAGGCCTTCCGCTCCTTGAGTTCTCTCCAGCGCTGGAAAGCTGATTCGATATTTACACGGGTCCTACTTCTTGCTTTCTCGTATGCCTTCTTCTGCTCGGAAGATGTTTTCCTCTTTTGTTTTTTATCCGCCATCTCTGTCTTTCTGTTGCTCGGCTCGGCTAATGTCCATCCTGTGCACTGAACCCTCTCTCCTCCACATCATGAGTAGACACGCCCCTTACTGCTGATTGGCTACAAGTTTGTTTTGGTACTCTGCCCGACTCGGTTTTCTAAAGAGTTTTTGAAAAAATCCATACTCCACCTTTAATTTAAAGAAAGCTTCCTGAAGTGTCTGTGGTTATTTCTCCATGCGTAGTTTAATGTGGATAAAGAGGCAGGTGACCGGCAGATCTATCACCGGTACTGTCTGGAGCGCGCAGCAGTCCGCTGTGCACACGTCTTCACCACCGTCTCTCAGATCACTGCCATTGAGGCTGAGCACTTACTAAAACGGAAACCAGGTGACTTAAGTTCCTGCTTGTACTGCTTTCTCTACATCCTAATGGCTACAAAATGCAGTCATGAATCAGTCAGATGACAGAATTTAAAATGTCATCATGTGCAGATTGATCTGGTATTAGAAAGGGATTCTGGCTTCATTTCATTACTGTGGATGCTGCCTGATTTAGTTCAGAACTGGACTTTTGCCAGGAAGCTGCTGCTTTTTGACCCTATTTGGTCTATTTGCTAAAGATACCCACGTTCATCTTTCTCTGTCAGATATTGTGACTCCAAACGGCCTGAATGTGAAGAAGTTCTCAGCCATGCACGAGTTCCAGAACCTCCACGCTCAGAGTAAAGCGCGCATCCAGGAGTTTGTCAGAGGCCATTTCTACGGGTCAGAGCTCATAAGACAATCGTCATGCAATCGTATTTATGTGTACATCTGCAAAACACTCTCTCATACACTGCTGTTCAAAAGTTTGGGATTTTGAATAGTCTCTTCTGCTCATCAAGGCTGTATTTGTTTAATCAGATATACAGAAAAAAACAGCAATATTGTCAAATATTATAACAATTTTAAATAGCAGTTCTCTATTTTAAAATTGAATTTATTCCTGTGATAAAAGCTGAATTTTCATCAGCCATCACTTTCCGGTTACCAGTGTCACATGATCCTTCAGGAATCATTCTAATATGTTGATTTGATACTCCGTTAATATCAGCATTGGAAACAGTTGTGCTGCTTAATATTTTTTGTTGGAACCTGTGAGCAGGATTTTTTGATAAATAAAAAGTAAACATAATTTTTTTGAAATATATATATATATATATATATATATATATATATATTTTGTCTAAAAATATAAGTTTTTACTATCACATCCTTGCTGAATAAAAATATTAGTTTCTTTAAAAAAAGAAAGAAAAAAAAAAAGTACTGACCCCAGACTTTTGAATGGTAGTGTATATTGTAACAAAGGATTTCTATTTTGAATAAATGCTGTTCTTTTGAACTCTTTATTCATCAAAGAATCCTGAAAAGAAGTATCACAGGTTTCCAACATTGATTATAATCAGCATATAGAATGATTTCTGAAGGATCATGTGACACTGACGACTGGAGTAATGATGCTGAAAATTCAGCTTTACCATCACAGGAATAAATGATATTTCAAAGTATATTAATATAGAAAACTGTTATTTTAAATTGTAATAATATTCCACAGTATAACTGTTTTTTTTTCTCTGTTGTTTTTTAATCAAATGAATGCAGCCTTGATGAGCAAAAGAGACTTAAAATCTTACTGATCCCAAACTTTTGAACAGCAGTGTACATGTTTTCTCTTCTTGTTTTGTGTGCAGGCATTTAGATTTTAACCTTGACAAGACAGTGTTTCTCTTCATTGCTGGACGCTATGAATTCTCAAATAAAGGAGCTGATATCTTTCTTGAAGCATTGGCCAGACTTAATTACCTGCTGAGGGTCAGTATTTGCGTTTTAGGATGTATGTGCATTCGATAAGTCACAATACGAACACAAAATGTTATAAAGATGAAGAATCTTTTTTTAGAAAAGGTTTAAATTTGATGTTGATTTGAAACAAAATTCTTGTACGTCCAGGTGAATCACAGTGATGTGACCATAATAGCATTCTTCATCATGCCTGCTCGTACCAACAACTTCAACGTGGAGACCCTGAAAGGCCAAGCCGTACGGAAACAGCTCTGGTAACCATGACAACTGCACTGTGAGGACTGCTAACCAGAATGACACTGTTGTTTATATTAAGCGAGTAGTCTGAGCTAAACAATCAAGTTGTGTTGAAAGCACATTTATTTTAGAATTATTTATGTACTCTTATAGTATTTATTAATATTTTGAATTAGCTCTTATTATTTATTTTATTATTAGTTTTAGTAATTTTATGATGTGCTTTTGACATTTATATTAGTTTGTTTTTAAAATATTATTTATTTCAAGTTTTTTTTTTTTTATTCAGTTTTGTTTTAATTTTAGTAATTTTAGTACTTCAGCTTTAACTTATTTTTTTTGTCAACTTATTTTCAGTTAGTTGCCAGGTTTTTAACTTTAAGCGTCTCATCTAATAAATATTTTCAGCTTTAAAAAATTTTTTTTTTTAAATCGTTTTAGGTTTACTTAACAATAACAACACTGGCCTAGAGCATCCTAACACAACTACCTGTTTTCTTTTGCCATTCTGCAGTGAATGATGGATGTGTGATGATGTAGGAAGGAATTTATTTATTTGTTTGTTTGTTCATTTTTATTTATTTATATGTTTAATAAACAGTAGTCATAATGTCACCTGATTGAAAAGAGTAGTTAAAATGATTAAAACTAAATGTTTTATTTACTCACTCATATTCAAAAGCCCATAGACAATTTTTTCCCAAATTTTTGCTTGGACTCCGGGACTGTTGAAGCAGTGAATGAATGTTGTTGTGACATTGCATCTTTGTTGTATTGTCAGGGACACTGCTCAGACTGTGAAGGAGCGCTTTGGAAAGAAACTCTACGAATCACTTTTAGTGTGAGTTGGTGTTTGTATTTCAACTGTATTATGTCATCTCTTCTGAGGCGTGACATTGCTCTCTTTCTCGTTGTTAGAGGGCAGCTGCCTGATGTGTCTAAGATGTTAGATAAAGAGGACTTCACCATGATGAAACGTGCCATCTTCGCCACCCAGCGCCAGTGCCTGCCCCCTGTCTGCTCTCACAACATGCTGGAGGACAGCAGTGACCCCATCCTCAACTGCATCCGCCGTATCGGCCTATTTAATACCGCTCAGGACAGAGTCAAGGTATACACACACACAAACACTATACTATAATGGATGTATTCAAAGGTAATTTGTTATGTAAAAAAATAATTAATAAACCTTTAATGCCTCATATTCTTCTGCTAGGTGATCTTCCATCCAGAGTTTCTCTCCTCCACTTCTCCTCTCCTGCCGATGGACTATGAGGAATTTGTGAGAGGCTGCCATCTTGGAGTATTTCCATCCTACTATGAGCCCTGGGGATACACACCAGGTAAAACTACACATACTATGTATATGTGTGTGTGTGTATATATATGTATAAGTATATATGTGTGTGTGTGTATATATGCATATATACATACATGCTCCATGGTGTATATATACCATTTAAAAGTTTGGTCAGTAACATGGTAACATTGTTTTAGTATATAAACAAGATATTATATCTCGTTATAGTTACAAGAAATATTTTTTTTCAGTTTTCATACATTATATTTATCAAAGTGAGCGTAAATACGTCACTTTTTTTATAGTTTTGACATTGAGAATAAGAAATGTTTCTTGAGCACCAAATCAGCATGTTAGAATAATTTCTGAATGATCATTTGATATTTTAAAGACATATTATTTCACAGTATTACTGGTTTAACTGTATTTTTAATACAAATAAATGCAGCCTTGGTGAGCATAAAGAGACTTCTTTCAAAAACCTGAAACAGACTTACTGACCCCAAACTTTTGAATGGTAGTTTGTGAACTCTGTATTAATATCATCCACTCAACACAATGCACACATCTTTTTTTTTAGCTGAGTGTACAGTGATGGGTATCCCATCGATCTCCACTAACCTGTCTGGGTTTGGCTGTTTCATGGAGGAGCACATTGCTGACCCATCAGCTTATGGTGAGAGTTGTACATATACAATGGAACTAATGAACAGCAGCTACAAGATTTTCTCATTTTTGTTTGAATCAGTTTTATTTAGTTTCATTATGTAATGTATATTTTTCTTAACTCCTCCTTTTCAGGTATCTATATTCTGGATCGGCGGTACCGTGGGGTGGATGAGTCCTGCAATCAGCTGACGTCTTTCCTGTTTCAGTTCTGTCAGCAGAGCCGCAGGCAGAGGATCATTCAGAGGAACCGAACAGAGCGCCTCAGTGACCTGCTAGATTGGAGATATTTGGGCAGGGTCAGATACTACACACACACAAAACACACAGTGAATTGCTTTTCTGACCACCAAGGACCCATGTTGTGTCCACTTTCTGTATCAAAACAACAAAACTAACAGGTTATTGAGGTTATTGTTCATGAACTAATATAGCATATTTCTGTTTCTTAGTATTACGTATCTGCCCGCCATATGGCTTTAGCGAAAGCTTTCCCGGACACATTCATCTATGAGCCTCAAGAACCCACTTCGGTAAGTTAAAATGATGAAGGGTGAAATTGAAATTGTTTGTCCGTTTTATTTGAATAAAAGTGTGAAGTTGAATTATCTAGACCAGTGATTCTCAACCAGAGATTCAGCATGACTTAAAATAATTTAAAATAAGATGACAACAACCATTACCATAAGCTAAAATAGCTACAAGTCAAGATTTTTTGTTTTAGTTCACCTCCTCAATGTATTTTTCCTTTGAAAACCCTGGATATGAGATTTTATAAATGTGATATCTAATCACATTTAAATTATTAAAGTCTTATTTCCATGCTAATTTTAATATGTTTAAGGAATTTATATTTACTTATGCCAAGCTGTAAAAAAAAAAAAACTGTCAAAAAAGGGGAACCTCTGACAGATCTGGACAGCTGTCTAAAAACTGGATGTAAATATTTGTTGACCTATATTCTTTCATTTACATAATTCAGGCCACAGGCTTCCGTTACCCGCGGCCCGCCTCTGTGCCCCCGTCTCCCGCCCACTCGCTTCACTCATCTCCTCATCACAGTGAGGCTGAGGATGAAGAGGAACCATATGATGAAGATCTGGAGGCGGAGAAAGACCGGGTCAACATCCGCCAACCTTTCAACATGCCGAACTGGAACAAGAATCAGACAGTTAGTCTTCCTGAGAAAAACTAAAACACACCCCTACATGCATACCTACACACTCTGTAGTTTATACTGTGAGGCACTTATATACACTGTGACACACACACACACACACACACACACACACATACACATAACACTCCACTAAAAGTGAAAGTAAAGCCTGCAAACAGTATGTCTGCATGTTGGTTTTCTGAAGAGAAATAAATAAGATATTTAATTATTTGGTGAGCCATAGTATGTGATTTTAAGACTTTCTGTTGAAAGATTTCTCTGGTGTCTTTCATACGAAGCTTAGTAAAAAACAACAACAACAACAACGGATTAAATAGTAGCTAGAGTTATTCATATGACGATTCATACCAAATTGTCATCTAGCTGTGTGCCGCTGACTTTCAAATGGCCACTGTTAAAAGACAATAAATGTGAAATGATAAAAATAAACGTTACAAACATTTTTAAAGAGACCTTTATTAGGAATGGTTTAAGAAAAAAACATTATTTATACACTCTTTAAAAGAGCTGTCCGACTTTGTTCTTCCATGGAACACAAAAGAAGAGGTTTTGAAGAATGTTCGTTATATATTTCTATATACAAAATTAACACAGAGGGTGATCAGGGCCAAAAAATTATAATACAAATATCATACAAATAGTCCTTAAAACTCACACTTTAGGTCTTCTGAAGTCATACAGTATCTTTATATGAAGGACAGACCCAAATTTAAGCTGTTTACTTTAAATCATGGTTTGACAGTCCTAGTAATTATTCACTTTCACTGTGCTAATTTCAAAGAGCTAAACTTTTCCTTGTGTGTTTCACGAAAGCAAGAAATGTATACATCTTTTAAAAGACTTTAGATTGCATAAATGTACTGTATTCTGAAAACATTCTTACAGTGCTTTACTCACTGCCAGATTTCCCTTCACAGTATTATGTACTGTCACGAACATAGTGACTATCCAGCAGTTTTCTAGGGTTATTTTTAAAAAACGGTTTCAGTTAAATGACAAGCAACTGATGTAGCTAAAGCTAACCAGCCAAACGAATACACTGGAACATCATTGGTACTGTAATACAAATATACACCAGCACTGTTAGAGTTTGTCATATCTATCACAGCTGTAGCTGTGTAACTGAAATTAAAGTCTACAACATTATTACCATTACACTTGTTTTATTAATTCATCATGTGCCACATCGTGTGTTTTCGTCGGTTAATTTGTACACTTTCTGCAGCAATCCACTGTTATCAACACAGAAATACCCTCCCTCCATGACCCTTGCAGACTGAAAAAAGACAAACAGAAATTCAGATGACACAGAGAGATATGTAACCGCATATTCATGTACCATTTTGGACTTTCTGTTAAATTTTAACAGAACAGAAAGCAAAGTGGACAGTTCCAAAAGATGTATTTTTATGCCTGCGTTCTCTGTGTAAATCCAGATTTGGCTAAAGATGTTCAGTGCATACTGGGGTTTTAGGCAATGCACTGCATCGGTTTACTCCATCTGTCTTTCTTATACTTACCCAGTAAGCTGCTCCAGAAGGAATTGTATGTGGCATTTCCTGTTACAGCTCCCAGTTTGGCGGGGTTTTGTCTCACTGTTTTCACTGTGAACCCATCTGGACCAGTTACCTCAACCTCTACAATATGGTAGTCTGATAATCTGGAGAGAAGGGGAAAGAGAGATTCCAGTAACACTCGCGTTACAAATCCTATAGCTCATACTAATGGTTAGTCGTACTAATGGTACATTTTCTTTACTTGAGCCACCTAGCAGCATGATAAAAGTCATTCTGAATCCTATAGATATTACAAGACATAGCAACGCCCAAGCACCACCTAAAAGCTGTGGCAAGTGCCTCTACCATTCATATTGGAAAGCTTCAAAATCTGGTTTTGATCTAGTTTCCACGATGAAACCGAAGTAGAGACATATCTTTTCTTCTGTATTGTGACATACATCTGAGTGAAACAGATTATCAAAAAATAGAAATGATAGGGCGGAGACTATCAGATGGTTGTTGATCAGATGAAGGCAGATCTGAATGCGAGTCTGCAGTCGATCGTAAGAAGGGAGCGGAGTTTAAATGATTGGAGAAGTCTGGCATTTCACCAGAAGGTCCATATTTTGATTAAGAATTAGAAGTTCGAATAAAAAAGAAAAATAGAAACATGCATGACTGAGTCATTTACAGTAAGATCAATATGTTTTAATTTCATGCCAACTTTAAAAGTGGCCTGGTCTATGGTATGGAGGCAGTTTTCTGTGTAACGGAAAGGTTTTGAGTGTTAATGTCAGATTTTTGAGGTCCAGTTTGTGACTCACGCAGTGTCTGAGACTATTTCGCCGGTAACCCCATTGAAGCCCAGCTTTGATGCGGCTATGGCCGCAGCTGCCATAGTGTTCACATTATTTGGGGCGATGGGGCAGAGCTCTGCTACTGAGCCGTGATACAAGACCCGCCTCCCCTCTCCCTCCCTCCAATCAGAGAGCAGACCACCAGTCAGCCGAAAGCAAGAGGGATGTTTAGACATTCGGATGGAGAGAGCCTATAAGAGAGACATTTGAAATTTATTTTCATATATTTTCATGTGGCAGGGACAATGAAACTTATGTTGAACTTTAGTTTTGGATAATATTTAGTATTTTTATTTAGGCAGACCACCTCTTGGAGATAAATGTTTTTTTTTATGGACAGTTAGATTTAATTTTGAACAGTGCTTGAATTCCTTGTATTAAAAAAAATAATTATAAGAAAATAGTCTTACCCGTAAAGTTCCACTGTCATTCATTTTTTGAATATCTTGGCCACCCCATAATGCACCACTGGGCACATAAAGTGTTTTCCCATGTTGTTTTGCAGCAGTACGAAGATCTTGCTCAAGCTGGGGGTCAGAAAGGGCAGAAGGGCTGCCCACCTGAGGAAGGGAAAACATGATTGGAGACAGTTTTAACAATTACTTGGGCAGTACAGCTAATTATCATTATGAAATAAATGTAAATACTATGGCAGACAGGATTTCAGGTGAAAATATAAAGGATAGACTTAAGTTACCAGGAAGTGAGCATGTAACAGAAATCTGACGCCAAACTCTTTAACTATCATTGGATGGCACACCTCCACTATTACATCGGTGTCTCTGAAACGCCAAACACACATAAAACACCTGTAAAGTGCCACAGTAACACGCTCTGTTTTGCAGTCTCTTAAACAAATATTCAACAAGCGTATATAAACTTTATATATACAAATACAAATTTACCTGCGTGTGAAATCTGAGAGGTCATGTAGAATCAGCTCTTTGGGCAGTGACTCTCTAAGTTTGTCTGCATTTCGGTTCCAAACAAATGCTAACTGCAGTCCTGCCTCAGGCCCTTCTTTTTGGATCTTCTCAACAAGAAACTGGCCTGAAAAAGGAGAAAATATTAAATACACATGTTCTGACAACATGAACTGATACTGAACATAAGAGTGATAACAGCTCTACAACAACATTAGATTTTAAGTGCAAATTTAATCAAAGTAGAGAAAGTTGTGGCTCTTGAAACAGACGTTTTCATTGGAGAACTCACCTAAATGTCCATATCCCACAATTCCAACCTTTAAAGCTCTATCAGTCATATCTACAAAGTGAGATAAGGGATTCAGCAGATGAACCATGAAATAATTTTCTTATTGGTTGGTCTGCTAAAGTAGTTCAAGAGAGCTTATTATTATTCACATCTACACAATAACAAATGTAATTCTGTAAACTCTAGAACATCAAACCAGCATGCACTAGATTTATTCCCCCACACATGTTCTTGATTCAAACTTTGGCTCCTCCCCTTTTTCATTTTCTCCACCTTCCTTTATCTCGAACGCACTGATCTCACCGACACAATTTGTCCTCACAACCTTCACTTACCTGCTAATTCCTCACCTGTTCTCTATGTATCACTCTCTCTTTCTTCTCGATGTCCGTCGATCTCTCTCTTTGCTGTTTGAACTTGAGAGACTGCGGGGATAGAGAAGGTTAAAGTGCATGTCGGCCAGGATTGTTAATGATTAGACTGTGTGAATCCATTGGCTTTGGATATTTTAAAGGAGCACTGTAGTATTATTCATGATGGAAAAAGTGATCTTTAAACAGGATATTTTAGTTTGAGTTATTTTAGTGTCTTTGAGATACTATTACGTTTTATCATTAGTTTGATTCATTTTAATTTTTATATTCTGCATTATCATTTTATTTTTGTTAAAGGTTTAGTAATATTTTTTTTCATTCGTAAAATTATTTTTATTTTTAAAAAATATGTCTATTTATATTTTAATGTTTAGTGCATCAAGTTTTTAAAATATTTTAATTTATTTTTTCGTTTACATTTGGCTGTTTCAAGTAACAAAAATCTACATACACGTCTCAAATCACGCTTATTAACAAATGTATGACAAAAGTGTTATATTATACTTTAAATGAGAAATGACAATAATTCCCCCTTTTTATATCATAACACTTTAGCTCTGTGGCGCCCTCAAGTGGGCAAAAGTGGGGGAAACGGCAATATCTCCAGAATTGCAACAGATTTTACAACCATGCTGTTAAAACCACTAACAACTGAGAAGCTAATGATCAATAAGAACTAGAACGAATAAGTAGTATAGTAATTATTAGAATAATTACAAGATGTAAAAAAAATACATATTATATTTATAAAGATTATATGTGTTGTCTATCCTTACTGACACCTACACGTACATCAAAAAAGCTAATATAGTGAATGAGCTGAAAGAAGCTGAAAAGACATAAAACAGACTGGGAAAGATACTTTTCTAGCATTAATTAATAATAAATACCAAAAAAAAGTTTATCTCTCTGAACTTGTCTCAATCATCAAACCTTTGCTCTTGGCGATGATGTCACTACAGGGTAACAGGCCATAATGCAGAGAGAAACATAGACGGAGAGAGAGAGACAGGCACAGAAACCGGGAGAGAGAGTGAGGGGTGTACGTTGTTTATGACCGAACAATCTGACAGATAATGCATCACTCATAATGGTCCAAAGTCCAGACCTACCCCAGCCAATGAAACACCCTGGCATACATAGTTGACAGAGGTATTGCAGATCTCCCAGCTGTGGAGTAGGTGGCCCACATCTGAGAAGGCTGCGTGTGTGACTGTTTAGGCCAGAAGACAGAGATGGACATCCTGGAAACGAGTGCTTATGACCGCAGACAACGCAGGAACACGGTAATCACAGCAAACACACACACACACACACGCCTGCGCACAAATACAGACACCTGTGTTCTGCTCTTGTGGGCCTATTTGTGCACTTCTACCACATCCAGTTTACTCATTTAGGTCCACATTTAGTCACAAAATAATTTTTCTAGCTTAGAATCACACATATCCTGTGTGATTTTCTTTTATAATAAAGATATTTGCATTTAATGTTTAATTAAAGTGTTGTAATACTGATCGAATTCTGTTTAGAGCACAGCAAGTGCAGACTGTGTATTTTTTTTAAATAAAAATCATGCCTGTATTGTTTTCATTCTTTTCTCCATCTCTTGTTTTCCAGACCTGTGTGCTGTTTCTTTATCTCCTCCCTTTTTTTGCATCCTGTATGATATACTTCTACCTGTGGATCCCAGACTCCGCCCCCTCTCTTCTAGCCGCTGGCATTAAGGCCGCTCCCATCCTCTGTCTGGTCCTTCTGGTGCTCAGCTATAATGGAGGGCGGGGTCTAGTGGGCGTGGCTGGAGGGTTGCTGCTCTCAGCGGGCGGAGACTGTTGCCTTATTTGGCCAGAACTTTTTATCCATGGTAAAGGTTATTTCTTCCTGTCCCATACCTTAATTTAAGACAACCAGGGTTACTATCCAGGTCATATTTCACTATAAAGTCAAGAGGGGAACAAACTTTTCTTACTTTTCACACTATTTTAAGACCATAAGGCACAATAATATATTATTATTATTATAATTTAAATTG